TGGATTATTAGCTAAGATTTTGTGCTATTCTAACTGGTATAAAAAACAAAAAGTAGTTGAATAATATTTTGAATGTAAGACACTAAAACCTTGTGTCATGTGCAGTAAAGGATACCTGTGGTGATAGGGTTAAAGTTCCATATAAAGTGCTTAAGTCACCATTTTGAAGTTACAGAATCTTCAGATCAAGTAGGGTTGAAACTTAACTTTCCCTGCTGATAGTCTAGAAGAACTGAAAGCACTAGTTATACAACTAGTTATACAGAATGGAGGGAACAAACCACAAGTGATAAGGTAGGTGTTTCAAATGCAGCTTGAAAAAACATATTACCCACAACTGCAGTCAAATGCCTGTATGAAATAGAAACTTCTCTCAAAGGATGTTGGAAAAAGGGAACTGTTATAAATGTGAGGAATTAACAGTGAAGGAAACAGAGTTCAACCATGCTAAAGGAACAACAAGACACCAATAAAACAGAAATTAGCTGGACTTATGTGGATAAGTTCAACTATGGATACTCTATCTCTCCCAAATGAGTTAAGAAGTTCATTACTTGAGGAAAACCATCCATGAGTAGATAGATTTATTAATGGAAAACCTTGTAGTGCTTTGACCAACACTGGTTCTACTGCTACAAGTAATTGTTTCACCTGATATGATAATGTAGGGTGGGAAATTGCCTCCAGAAATGTTAAAAGAAGAGGGATTGATGTGAACAGTAGATGAATATAGAGTTCCAGCAAGAAGAAAATTGGAAATTTCCCTTACTGTAGGAAGTTTCTCTACACCTCATGCTGTGTGCGTAATTGTCATGAAAGAAAAAGTGCATATTCGGAAATGGCTTTGTGCAGAGACATTGATGGGGTTAGCTAGCATCAAATAGCTTCACAGTCCATGACCAGGAAATCACTAAAATCGTAAAGATAAAATAAAAAATGATCACTACCAAGAAGTAAAATACACCAGGAGTTATTAGGAATAAATCTTCAACTGGCGATTGGGGCATAGTGGAATGAAATACTACAGCATGTCTTGAGGGATTGATGGAAAGAGGAGCTCTTGTGGATCTGAAAAATTAACTCTTTCCATAAAGGCATCCTTTTCTCCACATGTCCCAAAGTTTTACCGAGTGACATTCAAAATTTAATTAAACTAGTTTATTAACATGGTATATGTAGCTAATAATCCAAACTTTAATATTATATAATTTTAAAGTTAATAATTTTTTTAATATAAGTTTATATAAGTCAATATTAAAGAAACATCCTCAATTTCCCCTAGTGTAATAATTGTGACATTTGCTCTCTACATATCCCCTCTTCTCTAATTTATTTACCACCCCTCCGAGAAGTATTGAATTTAATGTAAATTACTCATTATAATATTGTTCTTAGTGAGACAAAGCATAATTTTTATAGCCTTTAATTTTAATAACTAGAAAATCAGACCCCTCTTGTCACATCCTCACTTGCACAGAATATCAATAGTTCTCTCAGACATTTAATACTATATTATTTATAACCAATAGAAAGCCTTAATTTATCAAATGAGGTGTTATACTGCATTGTTTCCTGTGCAGAGAATTATCTATTTTGCTTGGAGTTCAAACTTCTCACAGAAAACACATCAACAAGGTCAGTTAAAATTTTAATAGCTCTTGTCACATAGTTAGAAAGCCAGAAAAATTGTGAGTTATAGGACATTGTCTGGTTTTTGTAAGTTATTATACTGTGTAGTTTGGTACTGTAATTAATTGAATAACAAATTATTTAGTGCAGTAGTATGATTAGTATTAAAAAGTTGGATTAAGTTTCATTAACAGTCAACAGCAAAAAATAAAAAATATAAAGTATTATATTTCTTGTTTTTCATGTGTATTCTTTATTTATTATTATAAAAATAACTAAAATTTAAAAATTAAAAACTTCTTACATTAGATACAGTTAGATTAGATAAAATAACGAAAAATTATACTAATAATTAATTATGTAATACGATAGGGTAATGTGAGCTACACATTCACAAAGTGATTTACAACTTGTGCAGTGGAACTATTAGTTAGACATGGTTCAAAGGGCAATAAAATAATAAAATTTAAGTAGAAACTGATGTGTACTGTTACTCATTTTAAGCAACTTAGGATAAACAAGTCTGATTTCCTGTTAAAAATTGAAACCATTCTAGAAGGAAAAAGGGTATTTTATATTTTTATATTTTTTTATGGTAATTAAGGGGTCGGTCAAATTGACCAATCTCAAACACAGTTAGGGTAGAGAAAATAACAGATAAAACATATAGTTTTACTAAAAAAAGTTTGAAATTTATTTAGGAGGTTTTAGAGATTATGCAAATGGAATTTGACAATTTTCAGATGAAAAGTATTTTTAATCTTTACATGAAAGTCATTTGCACTTGAAGCAGTCAACACTCTGACTCCATGTATTAATGAAGAAATTTTTTGTGAAAAATTCTTCATTAAAAATTCTGCTTTTTTGTCTATAAAAGACTTTCAATGCTTACTGAAACCTTGCAAAATTTCATGAAGATACACAAAACAAATGAGAAGTTATAGTATTGAAACTATAAAGGTCAATTTGAGGTCACAAACTTGGCTGAATAGACCGAGCCTGTAGTGAGAGTGTTAAGACATCATACACATGTCATTACCTGGGAAAGACTTAAATAAGCTTGTGATAAAATGAAAAGTCACTATAGTATTATTGCTGATACACTGGGTTTCATCAAAGTGAGATGGTATGCCTGTACAATTCCCATCACAAGTAAGGACAAATTCTCCAAAGTTAAGTTGGTGTTGAGAAGGACCATACTTTGAACTAAAAATAGTCAATGATGTGGTTTACAGAATCCAAAAAGACAGGCAAAATCATTCACCATGATCACCTTCGGAATACATCAATTAGAAAATGGCCAAGTGAGTAGCTCCAGAGAAGTATTCATCAGCTGAAAGTCAACCTCTTGAGAAACCCAGGGTTTCTATCAAGATCTGTTCAAGAGAATTATCAAGGATAAAGCCACTTTTGTATTTTAGTATTCCTTATATTCCTTTGCTTTGGTACTTCACTTTGTCTGAATTTAGTTTGTAGAATTTGCGAAGTTTAAATTGAAAAAATATTCATAATGTGAAACTAATTATTTTGAGGTTAATACCAAAAAGTTAAAATATTTAGTTATAATATTCTATAACAGTATACAGGGCATAACATAGCCCCTTTCCCAGGCCTATTCCAAAATTTGTGCCCTGAATTATAATAATAATTAGCCTATATTCACAAGAATTTAGCTTTAACAACATTTGATGGAATCTAAACCTTAACTGTCTGGATGAAGTTAGAATATGCTCAGCTTGGATTTAAAAAGGTTCAAAGCCTAAATTATTTGAATTGAGACTATGCTCAGCATAGGTTTTAAGGAAGGTTCTATACAATATTAAGCCTTCTAAGCACTTAAAACCATGGTAAATGTACAAACATTTGCTAATACTAGTCTAGTATTATTAAATGACTATAAACTTTTACAACCTAAGCATATCAAATCCAATTACCTATTGTATTTTCAAGACAAACCAAAGATAATATGGCTACTTACAGAGAATTAATAAAAATTTTAATCCAAGTCTTAAATAAAAAAAAATTTAAAGAGTCCATCAAACAATGAAATCCGCAAGTGAAGTGAAAGTGATAGTTCTAAAGTGGGCTAATCCAAATCTACACCAGTGTGGAAGTATGTACAATGGGTAGTGTGCTCATTGAAATCTCAACTAAAGTATCATGAGAGAGAAAACTTTCAAAAGAGGGTAAAAATCACAAACAGAGATACAAATTAGCATTAAAAATAACAAAAGCTCAAGAAAGTAGTTAAATCAAACATTCAGTAGTCATGCAAATTCTGTAGTTGAAACAAAATATATGAATCTCATTTTAAAAAAAGGGACTGAAAACTTATCACCAGTACTTCACAACCATCATCCTGTTCTCTCCTACTCAAAAGTGGTTTCTGGGTTGAACACTGAGCACTGCTAGGTTTCACAGAAGAATTTGACAACTCTCTTTCACTAGCATTCGATACAGCCATAGTGATGAGCCCACTGTTAACCCCCTGTCCACTGAAGTGAAGATTGACCACGGGTTCAATGTTATGCCTAGTCACAAGAAGAAAAAAATCCAAAAAAGAAACGTAATATATGGATATATTTCTAACTCAACTACAATAATTACTATATAGCAAAATTAATTTTTCTCATATATTTCTTAAAAACAACATTAAATATTCATATTTTCAAATCTTTGATTCCATAAGCTCAATGAATGATAAACTGGTTCATCTTACACAAAAAAAAGTTATTTTATCCTCAATGTTGATCTCTAATTGATGATCACTGTGTGCAGAAATAGCTAGTGATACATGTACTATGTAGAATAACAGTTAAGCTACAGGACTATCACTGTGAGTGCAGAAACAGGCTAGAAACACATGTACTGTACAGAATAATAGTTAAGTGATACATGTATTGTGTATAATAACAGTTACATTAAATTCCATCATACAGTGTGCAGAAATAAATAAAAGTAAACATAGTCTCAGTAACAAAGTAAGCAATGTTAAAATTTTTCTTATCTGAATATATTTTCCAAACAAACATCTCACTAAAAATAGCTAATACGTCATTCCATTGCCAAAAAGTTTTAACACACGTGCCAAGCCTTTAAAAGAATCTCACTAACATTAGCTAATATCTCATTCCATTGCCAAAAGGTTTTAATCCATGTGCCAAGCCTTTAAAAACATTTCACTAAAAATAGCTAATACCTCATTCCATTGCCAAAACGTTTTAGTGCACGTGCCAAGCCTTTAAAAGAATCTCACTAAAAAATAGCTAATACCTCATTCCATTGCCAAAACGTTTTAGTGCATGTGCCAAGCCTTTAAAAGAATCTTATTAAAAATAGCTAATATCTCATTCCATTTCCAAAAATTTTAATGCATGTGCCAAGCCTTTAAAAGAATATCCCACCCCAATTCATAACAACATACACTACTCCAGTAAGGATTGTCTGACTCCACAAGAAGAAATTGTGAATGAGCAATTCGTGTAGGAGAGAACACAAAAGAGGTGCCTGTATACATAAGGTCTCAAATGACAGACTGTGCAATGGGTTATTGAAACTAGAACAGCAGTAACTGGCTCACTGAGTGGGTTTAGAACTACACGTTTTTCTTCTTAATTTGAATGTGTAAATGACTTGGAAAGTTCACATATCTATATCTCATCAAAAACACCTTAGATGTGAGAAAAAAAAGGTAGAGCCAAAAAAGAATTGGGTGTGTGACTTGAAGGAATGAAATCAAAACTGGCAGCCAAACTGGTAGCTACACTTATAGCATTGATAATAATTTTACAGCAAATATTCATTCATTAATTAACCAGGCCATGTTTTCTGTTCAACTTGGGCATGATGGTGGATAAAACAAAATACATCGCTTAGGTAACTAATGAATGAATATTTGCAGTAAAATTCTTATAAATGCTATAACTGTAGCTTAACAGTTTGGACGCCAATTGTGATTTCATTAATTTAAGTCGCATGCTCAATCCTTTTTGGTCGCACCTTTTTTTCACACCTAAGGTGTTTTTGATTAGATATCATGGCTTGTTGTCAATACATACCAACAAGCCTCAGCAAGTAAGAAAGTGACACTCAATAGTAACCCATGTTAGCTTTAGGATTACAACCCTATTATTCTGAACAGACTTTTACTTTACAGAACCACATATATATATACACAAACTTATGAGTGGATCTTAACCTGTTGCAATAATGTGATGCACTCCAAGCCACCGGAATCATGACGAGAAGGTAAGCAACAGAGAAATGGACAAACCTTCACCTCAATGTGAAGAAGTCCGAAAGGCAACACCCCAACTCAAAATGATGGGATCCTGTATGCCATACTCAACCTGAGGAAACAGAACTCATCTGGTCTGGAATTATGAACACCTATCTTCACTCTCCAACTGAGTGGGAAAGGTAATTCTTCTTATCTCTGGAAGCATGGGGAGGATGTGAAACAACTTGTGCTCAACCAGGGACCCGGGATGGGAACACCCTGCATTCGGAATTACATGGAGACCATGGAACCTCTTCTGTGAACAAGTACTGAACCAATACCGATAAAGAAAAAATGAGCCACACAAACCCCAACCAGATAGTTGAGCACCAAATCTGAACCAGTATTATGAGTAGGCTCCCACATAGGCTGGTGCCACTCCTTCGGACATCTGTGAAAAACATCCAGCGACCCAATAGGAGGGCCCCCCCAAGTTCGCCCTCTTCTCCAAGAGTGTAGGAATTCACTCTAACACTCTGGAGGAAAAGCCTCTGTCTACCACCCTGGTGCATGGAAATCAGGTGTGGTAAGAACTCCCTAGCTCCACTAGTAGAATCTGGGAGTAATGCATGTTGGGGAGTCTTGAGGAACAGTGCTCTAGAATTAATAGAATAGGTGAACTGGGTTCCCTAACATTTTAAAAGCAAACCGACCCCGATTTATTCAATCCAATGATAAGGTATGGATGGGCAGGATCCCCTTATGCTTTACTCATTATAGTCCATGAGTGGTGGTCCAGCATAGTACAGTAATACCACCCGGTCAGCCTCTAGATGGTCTTATGGAACGCCTCATTTCTACAGAGCCTGTTGCAACCTAGATAAAGTATATTGAATTAGTGGTTGCTAGTGCAGAATTGGTTTGATAAAAGCACACCTGCCTGGGCAACACTCGCCACAGAGTGGAATCCTTTGAAAATAAGGTAAGGGACCTGAAAGATAAAGAAGAAACAAGCATAGCAATGAAAATACTCAGCACTCTGACTCTGTATAATCTAGCTGATGTGGTTAAGATAGCTACAGGGAGTAGTTAAAAACCCTCAGAAAAAGATACTATCAGATCATGCGAATAATGTGATGTAGAAGTATTGGGGGAGGCTGCTAAGGAAATAGAAATGTGATGAATCTGATTAGACGTAACTCACAGAAATTTCCTTGCCTTCAAAGATAATTCAAAATAGCAATATGGATCAATTTTGTACCCACCTTGTCAATGTAGCCAGTGATAAACCCTGGGAAACTGAATGATCATAATGAATAAAAAGTTATTGTCTAGCATCTTTAAAGTCATTGGTGTGGGCAACAAAACCTTCAAGACCCTTACTTGGCATAACAAACAATCAAGATACGATCGGCCATAGAAGTGAGAAATAATGATGAGATCATTTAGTGAAAAGGAAATATCCCCTACCCTGGCTGCCAGTGTCTTAGGGAAGAAGAACCAGTGTGAGGGTGTAGGTAGAATGATAAAGCATTCTGTGCACAATCAGTGCAAACCACTTTGAACGGCGACATCTGTAGGTCAGCAGCAACGACAAATAAGCCTTCAGGGAAAGGTGATGCATGATACATGAGGCTAAGGTCTCAAATGGGTGTAAGGAAAGGGCATGTAATGCCACCTTAATATAGCAGTTAGGTAACTGAAATGGTTGTTTGGAACAAAGGATACAAAACAATGTGAGGAAGCTGGGGAGTACCTTTTGATACTCAACACAAAAAATTTTTCAATAAGGTTGCCTTGTACAGGGCAATTGTGGAAGATGCAAAACCCTTGCCAAAGAGTCAAGTTAAAATTGGCAGTTCTGATTGAAGTGGATTCAACCACCTCTCAATACACCATTTCCAGTATAAATGTAATTTCCGTTGATAAATGTCCATCGCGAGACCAAGCAAAAACTAAGACAGATACATGGAAACCTTAGAAATTAAATCCTGATGCCGTGCAAAGGACTGCATAACCTCCAAGCCTGAAGCTTGAGCTTTTGGATAGCTGGGTGTATGATGTAAATTTGTGACTGCCTCCACAATGATAGCCAAAGAGGAAGAGATGAGCACTCCTGAAGGTGCCACAGAAGCAGAAACCAGGGTTTAGCTGCCAATCCGGTGCTATCAACAGAACCTGACAACGGGTTGTAACATATCATAGCTAGTACCTTGAGTAGTATACCAATTGGAGGGAATGCCTAGAGTTGTAATCCCATCCTGTCCTGGCAGAATGCATTTATTGCCAAAACCTGAAGGTGAGGTACTGGAGACCAAATTGCCAGTAGTTGGGCATTCCAATGAGTGGCCAACCCACCAATCATCAGTGTTTCAAAATGAGAGCCAATCCAACAGAAAAATCTCTTGATGCAGCATCTATTCTGTTGGGAGAATCTGTTTGGGTCAAGACAATTGATCTGCCCCTGAAGTCATCAACCTTGGAACATGGCAAGCTAGTTGGGTGATATGATAGGAGTGGTCCCAAGAAAAAAATCCAAGGTTCAAACAAAAACAGCCCTGGACCAAGTAGCTCCTTGAAGGGAAATGCAAGATACCACAGTGGATTGTCAGAGTGAAGTCTGATGATTTTCTCCTTAACAAGCCTAGACCATGAAATATTGCCTTTTGAAGAGCAAGAATGTGTAAAACATTGTGTAGGGAAGCCTCGTTGTCTATATGTAGACACTGGAATTCCTGATCATTGAGATATGCACCCCATCCCTGAAGTGAGTCATTCAGATTAATCTCTGGACAAGGTGGCAGCAGAGGAAATTATTTCTCAGTAGTGTTCCAATCTAACCACCCCTGGAGATCAAAGAGAATGATCCTGAATAAGAAAACTGGGGAATCCAGTGAATCTCTGTTTATGTTCTAGTGGTTGCATAAAGACCACTAAAGGGATCTCTTGTACACTTGTCCAAAAGCCACAAGAGATTCGAGTGATGCCCACATTCCCAAAAGAGAAAGAACCATCAATGCAATGGGAAAAGGTTAGAGTCTGATTTCCTGCTCCATAGCTAATAGCCAGATGGGAGTCAGCTGAGCCCAAATAAAATATGTGATTAAATAAATATCCAGACTAACGACACATTGTGTTGGAGCAAGAACAGATGTCTCAGATTTGATAATGAAGCCTACCTAAGTTGTTTCTGAAAGCATAATCTGGGTGTGATGTTGTGACAATTGATGAATGGTGTTAGCAGTAACCTGTCGTCCATGAAATGGTGTGTGCACAGAGCTAGGGAATGGAGGTGACAAGAAAAGGGTCATACAAACTGGCAGAACCCATATGGTGCCAATGCTAGTCCAAATGTAAGAACCCTGAACTGCAGTACATGACCCTTGTGCATAAAAACACCGATAGTAGTGGGGTACCACCACTATGACAAGGTGCAGATAGGAGCCAATGATATCAAACTTGGACATTCACAATCCTAACAAAGAATGCCAACTCAGAGTGAGAAATGAGTCATTTGTTAACCTTAGAGAATCCAGGAATTGATACAGACGAGAAAAATCGATGACTGGATGCCAGTCTTCTGTTTTCTTGGGCCCAACAAATTGACGGGAATAAAACCCTACAACAACTGGCATGACTCTTTCTCTGCCAACCAAACTCTGATAGCCCTTGAACTAAGTTCTGAAATCTGAGGATCTGCGAGAAATGGAAACACTACAGGGTAGATAATGGTGGTGAAGATGTGAACTGAATGACTAATCCTGACTCAAGGACCTGTAGTGCCCATGGATCCATGGATGAAGATTTACCACACATCCAGAAATTCTAGGAGCCTAGCCAAACACAGACCCCAAACGTATACAATAGTCACCAACAACACAGGTGGCATTCCAACCGAGCAGCAGAACCCTTGGATATGGACAGAATCTATTCTGGATACTAATGGACCAAAGGGCTGATGTCTGGGTTTGGGACCCTTGAATAGGGACAGAACTATGAATCCCTATTGGAGCTGAGGAAAGTTGAGACATCATTGACAACAGGGATGAATGTAGAAGCCGCCAATCAAACCAATGTGCATGCTAATAATGGTTCCAGCTCATCATCATAGGACTTGGTGATTCTGAGTCTTCCAACAAGTTTATATGAATGATAAAAAACTCTGCACCGTATATAGGGCGGGACGAATCCTGGAAAGATGTGATCTATTCAGGTTAACTACAGACTGCTCTAGAACCCCAAATTTCCTCTGGAGCAAATGTATTCTTTGAGAGTCAGAATATGCTTCCACCTGACAGTGGTAGGCTAAATCACTTAGTTCCAACAACCTTGGTGGACAAGGTATACCTGTAACTGAGCAGTAAACCTCCCTGCATGAGCCACAATTCAGTGGATGGAAGGAAAACTAAGTACTTGCTCCCAGACATTTTAGTCATTAAGTAAGGTGCACGCTCAAACGATACTGAGGAAAGATCCAAAACATCATACACACAATGGACCAACTGAAGAAAAGGAGCCTGAGGCATCTTATCTCAAAGTGGCCTCCTGATAAGCCAACAGACTAAAGGAAGGTGCAGGAAAAAAGCGAATCTAAATTCTCTCCAGATTGACCAGGATTCCTCTCAATTGCAGTCTCAGAGCCCTCTGGAGGAACAGCACCAAACCAATTACATGTCTCCATCTCACTACGAATAATACCAGTGACAGTCTTAACTGAGAGTGACTCCCCCTTCTCCCCCCAATTGTGAGCAACACTAGATATCAGAGGTGGGATAGAAGAGATCTGATTTCCTCTGTGCTGGTAATAATTATTCAGGAATTCATGCCATATCGGCCTTCCAAAGGAAAGTTTTTTTTAAGAAAATCAACTAGATAACACGAAGAACACTCAAAGTATCTCCAATGATTGTAGTACAGATTGTAGTATTTGTTAATAAAAGCTATGTCGAGAAAAAGTGATGACACTGTCTGAATGAGATGCTTATATACAGTACCAGGATAGAGGGCACACTGATGTAGGTGGAGAGTGTCACATGACAAATATTGCAAGGGCAACTTAGTGGGGTATAACATATGGAAGCAAGCAAGAAAAAATCAGACCTCTGCTTAGATGGGAAAAGGAAGAAATCCTGGCAGTCGAATAATAGCTGTAGTATGAGGAAAGTATGTATGTTTTGGAACTATGAATAAAATTTAGATGTTAAACTTTGAAAATTAATTTTTGTTCATATTCTTAAATTGTCCAGAAAAATATTGCAAAGTATGTGCTATAAGCAAGACAGTAAATTATAAGTGAAGTTATGCATATTCATATCTACATAATTCTAATAGGTGTGCTACTGAAAACCCCAGACCCTATCCTTACAGGACTGTGTAAAGTAATTTCAAAATTTCTAAAAAGACCCTAAGAAAGTAATGAAATAAAAATGATGTTATACTAGAATATCATGAGCACAAATTGCATCAGGCAACAGTTCTGGATGTTCAACGAAATTCCTTTAAATGCATAAGCAAAGTATATTATCATTGCACACAAACATAATAAAATGATGTGTAAATAAATTCCAATCATTAGGTACAGTCAACATCTCTGCCTGGCAAAAATTATAATTCATGCATAAAAGCTTATTCTTTAAGATCTGTATCTACATTTAAATATGCTTATTTTCCTGTCAAAGCAAAGAAGAAATACTTCATACATACATAAATGTTTTTATCAAAACGTATATACATACTATATTCAAGTAGTGTGAAAATCCACATTATAAAAGACTTAAAAGTTGGCAACAAAGAATGTGTACACCTATAGTTCACTGGTGCAACAAGGATTACCAGTGTCTTCATAACAAACATTTCAGAAAGAGGCTTTTAAATTAAATAACTAGCTCAATGAGGAACTAAAGATAAGTAAATTTACTTACGTCTCTAAAAACACTTTACGTCGATTAGATAGTTCTTTTTTCAAACTTTGCATATTTTCTTCCAAAACAACTTTCCCTGAACCTTCTTCTTCTTTAATTCCACCATCTTGGGATGCATCTTGACCCTTACTTATACAATCTGAAGTGATACTATTAAAGTGAACTGTTGGTGTAGTCATACTAACCATACCTTCTGGTGAATGTTTTTTAACTTTCAATGCAATAGCACCAGTGCTACACTCTAATGATGGATCGTGATCTTTAGCTGTTAATGCAATAGCACTAGCGCTACTCTCTACTGAGATCTCTTGATCATTTACTGCCAGTGCAGCTGGACAAGTAAAACTCTCAATTGAAGGATTATCATTTATTGCCAATGCAGCAGTACTAGTGCTACTCTCTAATGAAGGCTCTTGATCATGTATTACCAACACAACAGTACTAGTGCCACTATCTACTGAGGAATCTTGATCATTAATTGTCATTGCAGCAGTACTAGTGCCACTATCTACTGAGGAATCTTGATCATTTATTGTCATTGCAGCAGTACTAGTGCCACTATCTACTGAGGAATCTTGATCATTTATTGTCATTTCAGCAGTACTAGTGCTACTCTCTACTGTAGGATCTTGATCGTTATCTTTGAACACAGCAGCACTAGTGTTACTCTCAGAAAAACTACCTCGATTAACAGCTGTTGGAGCGATTATTCTATTTTCATTGGCTTGAGAAGTAGCTTCTGTCTCAATTGACAAACAAGTGTCATTACTCTTTTCTACTACAAGTTTCTTTGAAAAGGACGAATCTAACCTTCGGTTATCAATATTATCACTAGATATAGATTCAGACTGGGCAACACCAACTTTAACACATGAAGAGTCTGACAAGCTACTTGAGGGTTCCAGATCACTGAAGTCCAATGATAGTGCGACAGACTTGGCATCTGCTGCTTCTTGAGTTAGATCTGAACCTATCTGTGTTTCCTCTCTCTGTTCAGTAACTTCATCATCATTTGATTCCTCTTGCTCCATGTGCTGCACATCTTCAGAAATAGGTCTACTAACTCCTGAGCTTGAAGGCTCTGCTAAAACAGAATCAGTTTTAAAAATTTTCCATCTAACAAAAAAAATGTAAAATTCTCAAATGTGTACATAGATATAAATGATTAGTTTGATACAGAAATTTTGTAACCTACAAAAAAATAAAATTAGTAGTGCATGCATAAAGGATTAAATAAAATTCTAAAACAAGTCTCAAAATAAGCTCACACCAAAGAAAAATAATGGTTAATATTGATAAAATATTTAAAATGTGTATACAAGTGCATCATAAATCTAACATGTCTCATATTGATATGTAACTGCAAAAGATTGGTGCTAATTCCACTGATCGAACACAGTGGTTATTCAGTGATCTTACTAACACCAAAGGTATCCCCCCAGAGAAAATGCATTAAAGAACAAGTAACAATAATAAAATAATCAAATTCGCCTCTTATATCATATTCACAGTACTAAATTTTGTTTTATTATGCTCACCTAGGTTCCTTGACTTTTGACTCCTGCATTTAAACCACTCCTTAACTTGTATTGCTTAAATATTTTGATATATACCATGAAGTATCACATGCAGATGCGTTTCTGTATAAAACTAGTTTTAACACTCAAAACTGAGGATTTCACATAATGATAAATGCTGAAGAAGATTTGGCATTTGTTTGTACTTTTTTCAGCAGTAGATTCCACTTTTTTCTTTTGGTTTCGCATATAATATTGTAAAAAAGATAAGATATTCAAGTAGAATCATTATCTACGTGATTCTTTTAGTAATTAAACATACTAAAATGACATTTTTTATAACTGTCTCATTTCCATATACAAAAATCCAGTAGCCTCTCCATACAAAATGTAAATGTTTCTGTTGACCTCACTGACCTGAACATCAAAAAATTCTCTCTTTTCTATGTATTTCACTGAGATACTACTTGAATACTTACTCAAGTAATGACTTTAGGCCACTCATCTTTCCAGTCCTCATTTCTAGGCACCATACACCATTCTTCTTTTTTTTTTAAGAAGTATTCTTGATACTTGTTAACTTTAAACCACCAATATATAGACACCTGTGGTTTTTTTCATTTCCAGAAATGGAGAGGTTCACAACTATTGCTAAACCATCAATTGTTTCTAAAATTATTCTATCAACAAATAATATTAAAACTGATTCTGATAAGGCAAAATAGTTTTAACTTCTTACAAGGTTAAAAAAGATTTTATAAACTGTGAATTATGATAAACACAATAAATGAGCAAAAATCTGCAATTCTGATAATTTTTTCTCTAACATATTTGTGGCAGAAAAATCCAAAAATATTTATTGTTCAAAGAATTAACACCTTCATGCCAAAGTTACAAACACATAACTTGCATTATTTAAAAATCTAATGTCTATATTACATTTTTAACATTCCAATGTAATTCAAATAAATATCTCTAGATGGAGGCGTAAATAAACCATCTAATAATTATTATTATTGCACCATCTTGTGCAACCATTTGTTGACTAACTATAATACAGATTATGATACACTCCCTACAACAACTAGTAAGCTACACCTAGACTTACGTACAGAGCAGGACTCTAGAAATTCTAGATGAGGTAAGGAAGAGTGAAATGTGCCCATTTAGAGGGCAATGGTTATTTTCATTGTATTTTAATACTAAACATGTTAATAATAAGTTGGTAAACAATGATTTATAAGCATAAAGAAGTAATTAATTTTTGAGGGAACAGCCAAACAGGTGTTGACACATGAACATTAAAGACTGATATGCATGGTTTTCAGAGAACAGGCACTGTTTACAATGACTTGATTGGTATGTCTAATAGAATAGCATGAATACCCGTTTAATTTTCCAGAGTCTTGAGGTATGGACAGTTGAACTGGTAGTGTGAATGGAAGGCTTATCTTCTGAGCCCATACTCTACTGACTTCATTTAAGTACAGAGATCCTTCTTAATTATGGTGCTAGCTGTTACCTGGGTCACGTGGACAGCTTTTACCACTGAACATTGTGGTCACTGATTATTACCTGTTACAAGATGCTGCACATTGCTTACCACAGTTGCAGTACAACTTTTAACAAGTCTCTTTATGGATGGTACTGGTGACTCAAATTAATCCATATTCCACTGTTTTACAAGTCATTAACTCCTTCAGCATGGGCTCGGTCATAACCATTTTGTGTTTATTATAGTTTTCATGCTATAACTTTTAAATTAGTAAGCATATGTTAAAGAAATTTGGCAGATTATCAGTAAACATTACAATGATTTCATATGCAAAATATCATATTTTTGTGTTAAGTTTTAAGGTTTGTAAAGCAATGTTTTTCACATGCATTTTTTTTGGCATGTTGCCTGTCCATCATGTAAAGTAATTTTCAATTTAAAATTAAAAATACTTTTATGAATCAGAAAATTTTCAAATTTCAAATGTGAAATGTTTATAATGTCCAGATAGTTATTAAATGTTTCTTAAGAAAAACTTTATATTTTATCTGTTATTTTCAGTAAGAAATCTGTGTATGAGTTTGGTAGATTTGACTGATCTCATAACTACCATTAAAAATTAGGAAATAAATATAAGTTATGCCTCTTTCATTCTAGAATGACAACAGATTATAACATAAAAACAAATATTTTTAGACTAAATAGCTTAAATCTCATAACATTATACATTTATATATATATATATTTATTATTTTTATTACACTGAACTTTCAGCCATGCTTGGCTAACAATACAGAAGTTACAATATTGCGGCACATATGCACTGATGTTACTGTATCCAATAACATAAAACTGACCTTTAGTCTTTACAAAGTGATCTG